ATATCTAAATAATTACGTTTCTGTTTTACAACGGAGAGCATGACAAGCAGGCTTTCAAAAAATTATACAGCAGCGTTTGTGATGCGAGTTATTCAATTTTAAAAACATTTCTTATTCAGTACAACAACAAGATGAATTTTATCTCTGACAAACATTGTTATGATTATGTGTAAATAAGTTACTACATCTGTCACTGTCGTTCATTTTCAATTATATTAACACGCAGCTTCTATAAAAATATCATTGACTCAAAGTTGCAAAAAACATTTTAAAATAAAAGCGATATTTGTAATATTTTCTCTAATTTTTATATCAATTTACGTGCAGCAATACGACTGTCATCCGCAACAGATAAAATTGATATAATCAGCGTCAAGAATAGACTTTATTTTCTTGGAAAATTGAAGTACCCCAATACAGATAGAAGATCATGTGTGATGAGTTGAAATCTTTTTTTGGTAAATCTGTTAGTGAACAAGAGATACAATTTTGATCACAGATTTTATTTAAGTTATACACATATATCTACTGGTCTTTGTTAATCTAATACAAAGCCAAAGAGTCACACAAGGTAGGCGGTTATTAAGTAGTGTTGTATGGGTGTAAGAAATGACAAAATGTGAAGTTTTTAGGGGCTATGCAGCAAAGGTAACAGTTAATTCTAGACTTGATGAGGTCAACATATAATTAGTAAATAAAATTTAAGGGTTTAGTGGGAGACGTTAGAAATATACTATGGAAGGAGACACTAGAATGAACCGGACACCCAATCCTAAGCAAGAATCAAATGATAAACTTTTACACATGTTCAAAAGCCCGGGGACTAGGGAAAATATGACAACAGGCCAACCTCTATTTTTCTGTTCAAACCTGCCTACTCCCACACATACACCCACCGACATACACAACATTTCCATATATATATATATATATATATATATATATATATATATATATATAGTGGTGGACTCTCCCGTCGTATTCGACGTATGAGTGTCAAGCAGCTCAGTTCCTAGGAAACGACATCCCAGACACCAGCGCATATGATTTGATTATAGTGGTGAAGGCTTTGTGCAGAACCAATCACATTTTTGAAGGGCCGAATACAAAGACCTGGTGCACTACGTACCACAAGGTCCCCAAATGACCCTCCGCAGGTTTTGAATTCAGAGTTGTCCTTATCTTAGACCAGTTGCTATCCAAGGCTATAGAACCCAGTCTGTTCTGCTATTTACTCATAGCTGTAGGGAGAAGAGGATTACTACCTTTCCCAAGGGTATTACCACTGGAATTCGAACTCGGCTCTCCGATTCCTCAATCCGAGCCGTATGTGCGATGGATTAAATATCGCATGAATTGTCAGCCAAAATGAAAATAACACTGACATCTCATTTTAACAGATGTATTTAACAAAATTAAAATTAATTAAAATTTGAAATGCTAAAGAGTAAATTTATTCAGTGAAATCACCATTGGCTTTAACCACAGCTTCCAGACGATTTGGAATTTACTGTATCTTTTCTGGATAGTCTTCTTGTTTAAATTAGTGAATGCTGCCATAATCCTTGCCTTCAGTTTATTTTTGGTGCCACAAAGGCTTTTTTTGGTGTCACGTTCAGCTGCGACCCACGCATAATAATCAAGAGGCAACACTATTTCATGCTCTAATGCAATATTGAGGCCGTGTGTTTTTATATTTACATATGCTCTATCTTTTGATATAGACCATAATATATAGCATACCTTAAAACTAATTATATATATATATATATATATATATATATATATATATATATATATATATATATATATATATATACGCGTAGACAGTGTGGTTGTTAGAGGGTTCGTCTACGAAATGCTAAAGGTAACACCAATCAGCTAAGTGACAAACTTTATATTTACGGGGCAAGATGTAAGAGGTGAAATTGTCTGACGGCCATGACTGTGTATTTGTTTGGCTCGGTGCAGAGTCCTGTTTCCATACAAATGTTCTTTCAGCAACCACCCTCTCGACCCAGTGTAGCAGTACCCCTCAAGGGATTGAGGTTGGCCTCCGTGTGAGAACTTCATCAATAAATTTGGGATTTTTTTCTTATCAGAACGGATTGCTTTTTTTTTTTTCCGAGCTGCTGTATTTTTGTGATCACTATTAGACCCTGTACTATCCTCAGATAAACACGCAAACATATATATATATATATATATATATATATATATATATATATATATATATATATATATATATTGAAGCTTCAGCAGGAATACCAAACAGTCTAGCTTTCCCATTTCCAAATTTCTGGTGGAGTGAATTGCGTGATGGTGCTCTTTTTCCCCCACATATGGTGCCCCATTGACCATACTATACTATGCAATCCACAAAATCAAAAATAAACAATACGCATGCGCGAAATTAAAAATGGCGACAATTTACCCTTAGCACCATATATATATATATATATATATATATATATATATATATAGTGATAGAACTTAGGAGGATTTGATATAATTATAATTAAGTAATCGCGTCTAGAAGAAACCTCAACAGAATGCAAAAAGGACTGTGCCCCCACGAGCCACGACTAATAAATTCCATCACGGAATATGGGATCGAGCGGCGCTATATAGAGTCTGATTCGCTACCCATTCGTCACCGACGCCCGTTGGAACACTTGGTATGACGTTTGCCTGATAACTGCCCGGGTTTCAATTCTCGGCAGCGGATGCGCACTGCTGATGAGTCCCAAATATATGACGAAACGGCCGTCCAGTGCTTTCTGCATTCTGTTGAGGTTTCTTCTAGACTTGATGAATTACTTAATTGTAATATATATATATATATATATATATATATATATATATATATATATATATATATATATATTTGTAAATTACAAACACGTATATACCAGCGTTACAAGTATATTTTCACATCATACGAGTGCTGATGAAAAAGCATCAAGACTTGTGCTATAAAACGAAAACTACAATACATATCGATTCAGTATTTAATCTCCTTCAAAATAGACCCCTTCTGAAGCCACAAGCTAGAAAACTTGTTCCTTTCAGTAGCGATTTCATTATTAAAAGAGGAAAAACTCGCAAGGGGTGTGATCTGGGAATATGGTGGTTGTCGATCCTAGGGAGTGCCATGGTCAATAATGGAAATTCTGTGGTGTAGCGTGGTGAGACGACCACATTATACACACTTTCCTTCCAAGCTCTGCTATGAAGAATGGAAGTGACCGAGTGCGATATCACTTAATATGTGTCACACGACAGAGTTCAAAATCATTCTGCACCAAGCAGTTTGACTCGGCGTACCATAGCACAAATCCTGATACTTTTTGTTCAGACAATGGCAGAAGAAGAGGAAGGAAAGAAACAAAGATTACTCGCCGTAAATTTCTGGATCGCAAAATATAAGTAAACAATAAAACAGCAGAAAAACCAACTGGTCATCGCCCCTCCCACTTCAAAGTTCAATCGAGGACAAAACACATGGATATGTACACAGCATTTTTAAAAACTGGTAAAGGGGAAAAATACTAAGATAGAATAAACAGTATAAGTTACTGATAATTTACATTTAAACCTAGCAAACATTCCTTCTACTTACAAAGGGAAGGTTGCTTAGACTTAATATATATAGAACGCAGAGAGACGCTCAATTGATAATCAGAATTTTTCTCTGCTGGAAGTGATTGTTGTTGAATTTATTTTTAAATGTAATTACTATTTACTTTGTTCTCGTTTGAGAAATTAATTTTATTTTAAATAAGAAAAGGTAATGAATGTAGCAGCTTTCTTTTAATTTTAATACATTTTCTATGGTTATGAATATTGGCTTTCGTTTTGCTAGGCATTAAATTATATCTCTTAGCATCCTCCATAGTTTATTTTGAATTTCCCAGTTAGACCTTAGTTACAGTTTCTGGGAAATAGCGTGTTATCTAGCGTGATCAACAATTTGAACAAGGCCAGCACGCTCAAGCCCTCGACCACGATGACTTGTGGCTTCGTGCTAGCATAGCTAAGGGTTCCGTCTACCCTATTTCACTCACATCATTTAGGTCAACCGGTGGTATGGTTTTCAGATTTACCAAAGGTGCGGCATCCATCCAATCCGATAACATCAGGAAGTATTCTTCCTGATAAATCGATCATGGTGTGATTCGAACCCGGGCCTCATGGTCAAAATGCGAACGTTCTAACGACACGGTTACGTGCCCATACAGGATATGTAGACCACACATAAATATACACCTGTGCATGCATATGAGAACATAGAATATTTCAAGAGATTAAGAATCTTCGCAACCCTGGGATTGTCCAAGAGCAATCTTAGCAGATGCGTTACGACCAACGGTGACCTGTTCGTTTTCCAAGGAGATTTTATTTTTCCTTTGTGTCTCATATGTAACCACTTTGGCGTCATCTCTTCAGAATGGAGAGATTAAAATTCAATAAGTTTCATTTCTAATTTTACGCGTGGGAATTTTTTGTATTCAGTCAAGAAAAAAAAAAAATAAAATAAATATTATTTTTTTTTTTAATGAATCCCCAATAGAGCATTTTTCGAATGAAATCAAGGAAGAGTCAATTCTGTGTAGTATTATCTGAAAACGTTGTTTCATTTGGAAAATGAAAAGCCGAAAATTCCCCAGGAGATATAATGTCAAGGTCACTCTGAAAGGATTTTTCTGGGATTTGGTTTGCAATGCTTGAGTGTGCGCTAAAACGTTTGTGCGTGTACGTGTGTGTGTGTGTGTGTGTGTGTGTGTGTGTGTGTGTGTGTGTGTGTGTGTGTGTGTGTGTGTGTGTGTGTGTGTTCTTACAAATTCGTTCCTTTGTTGATCCTAAGCTTCTTTTTTTTTCCTTTCGTTTTGTTTCTTTCTTTATTCTTTTCCCAATTTGGGCTTGCTTCCATATAGCAAATCCTTTCGTGTTTGTTCCTTTAATATCAAATGTCAGGATTTCTTTAAAGTATGTGCTACGACAGCCAACAAGAAGCACGCTGGAGAAGGAAAGGAGATAGAAACGAATAGCATGGCGATTGCGCAAACGAAAGGACGCTTTGAGGAAACAAAGGGGGAAAAAAAACGAAAGACGAATACACGATATGAACAAGAAAGGAAAACTAAATTGAATGAAGCAAGCTTAATATTGAAAGTCGATCTTATTTCTCTCAAAAGAAAGAAAAGGAATTAATAAAAAAATGTCTTTAAAGAAAATAAAGACAATATTAAAAACAGAAACATAAGGATGCAAAACATTCAATGAAAATTTATTAAAAACCAACCCTGCCCAGTGGGTGAAGTAGTTTTGCATTTACTTCCAACGCATTTATTTCTGTTCTCATTATTACGTTACTCGCGTCTCTTGTAAAGGAAACCACTATAACAGCTTATTTCGTTTACTTAAATGCACCAAACTATTTTTCGAATAAAACTTATTTTCTAAGCTACGTCCACTTTTCCAACAGACGCATATTATCTTTATCCCTTCTGTTTTCTTGCTTTCCTAACAACTACAACCTTCAAACATTTAAATGCAGCGTCAATCGCCATCTTCTTGAATCCTGTTCATTTTTTTTGTCCTTTCCTCAATCCTTTCTTTACCCAGTCTTCCCCCATGCGAACTAGTGGCATTTCCACCTTGCTTGGAGGGAAAAGATTATTTTAAAAAAAAATTCCCTGACTTACGGCCATATCACATTGAAACATTGGTTCCTGTACGATCACCGAAGTTAAGAAACGACATGCAGCAGGCTCAACGCTGCTTAACTTCGGGAATCTAGATGGGTGATCGATGGAGATTACTAGGTGCTGTAAGCTTGAATGTGCGGGTGGCGTAATAGATAACCGCTGCCAATTGAAAATCAGAGAGATGAGTTCCAATCCCAGTCGGGTTCGTTATATTCACTTTACAAGAAAATACCTTTAGGAAAAGCATGAATCCATCTTATTTACCCCCAGCTATGTGTTAATTAGTAATACTTGTATAATTCAATCGTTATTATCTCCAAAATTTAAAAAAAAATAATTAACAACCATATTTTTAACATCTTTATCGTTTTAAATAACCTGCAAAATGTTGACAATCCGTGAAAATCAATCAATTAACGGCAAATGTGCTGACGAGGTTCAATTCTTTAGTTTCACCTGTTCAGACCTTTACGAGTAATACCAGCCATGTTATATCTACAGAGTCGAGTCACTCTCATTCTTCCCTATTCCACCTGCGAGAAGGAAATACTGCTCAGTCAGTTTCTTATGAACGCCTGCTTTGTGGAATATGCTCCGGCGAGGATGCTTCCTGGAGCACTTAGATATTAACCTCTTCAAGAATAGGGTCGATTGTTACATATCCCCCCTTATACTAACAATCTTCACACCTCAATTTCTCATCTTACGTCCACATTACGCACACCCTTCATTAAACTCTGACTTGAGTGCCCCTTGAGCCTGGTAATAAGTAAATATTAGTAAAAGAAGAAAAAAGAAAAGTTGTTACTGTTGCAGTTTTTTGTGTATAATATGTAACTAGTGAGCTAGCCCAAATGACTTGACTCACTTTATAGTCCACCAATAGAAGGTTAACCAATCAGAAGTCGTAGAATATTCAATCCGTCGTGTATAAAGGCGGCCATTTTGTTTACCCTACCCGAATGGCCAGTGCCAGCTTGTCAGGCGAAGAGAAACAGAAGGACGAACTATGCTCTGCTACCTTTTACCAAAATATCCACTGCTAACCTGAACAACGTTTTCCTACTGTCTTCGAAATATTCACTGCTAACCTCTGGATTCTATACTCGAAGACGACCGTCATCATGAACAACAGTTACCTTTACCAAAACCGAATTGCTTAGCGAAATATAAATACTAACTGGGGTGGATATTCAAGCAACAATTATTTTTTTTTTTACAGAAAATTAAATAAAATAAATTACGGGTAGATTAGACCCCCCCCCACCAGTTCAGTAAAACATATTAAAATAAAAGGTTTCTAGTGAATTTCAGCAAGTAATGTTACAAATATCCTCACTTTCCAGATATGAATGAGTTCAAAAGCGTCTCCGTTTCTTTGTTGTAGAAGAATTATTTACCATACACCAACCTCTGTCTCAAAAGCCGGGTCAGGCGAGCCTCTCTCTGCTCTGTCGCTACTAACATGGAAAGTGCTCGGACGAACTCCATTCCTTGGTTCCGCTAGGTCTAAAGTTTTAAGGTTAGGAATCGCCATGCCACGTATATAGTAGGAAACCACCCACATTCCCACCGTCGAGAAGTAACTTCTTCAAACTGCTTTTTGTCTCGCGAACCCTTGCCCTGGGAAACAGACTCCAACAGGATTTTTTTTCCGAATACTACAATATTATCCTGTTCTAGAAATAACGGTTATCTTCCCCACATATACATATAAACTCCTCCTTAACGTAACTCTCTACCACGAGTGGCTCCCAAGCCTTGTACAGGGTGAACCATACTGTAAGAAAAATGCTGTCAGCTCATTAAAAAACAATATAACGCATTTTTGCTATAACTGTAAACATTCTACTACTTCTGTTTTCCTTCAAGACGTTGCCAATTATGACTCTCTACAATTTCGTATTCTTTGTAACACTGTCTTTTTGTTACCTCTGCTAAATCTTGCTGCGCCATCCATTTACTCAACTTCGCTGGGTAGGTCATGGTTTGTTTTCCTCTGTCCCTTTCGCCTTCACTTTCTCCTGTGAGTATCAAATTTTCCAAGTCTTCTTTTCTCGTTATGAGCCATAGAAATTTCAGCTGTTTTTTTCTTGATGTTAATTATAAGTGTCTCTAAAAGATGGTCGGCATTCTCAGCGTTCCGTTGCTTCAAAGATCTTCTTCGTTTGTGAACACTAACTCTAACTCACCCAGATTTCGAATGAAACTTCAGCTCGGTCTTCAATTTGGGAAAACCCAAGACACCCTGTTTCCCATTCGTGGAATATGTCTTCGCCTGGGACATAGATGAATCCGGCCCGTTTGAATGATGGGAACCTAAACATGGGCTCTCCAGAAACACAAAATATCTCGATATAAGTAAGTCCTTTCATTTTTTTATCTCCTTAAACTGCATTGCTATATATATATATGAAGAAAAATATATACGGAAAAAACAAAACAAAAATCCTTATATACAATTATGCTGTTTTAATGTTAATATGTCAACGTCGGACGTTTCGGTCTAATAAATATCTTCAGGACATATTCATAAATATAACGTTATTACGTATGAATATGTCCTGAAATAATTTATTAAAACAGCATAATTGTATATAAGGATTTTGTTTTGTTTTTTCCCCTATATATTTTCTTACATATCGGTTTATATCTATATTTATATATATATATATATATATATATATATATATATATATATATATATGTGTGTGTGTGTGTGTGTGTGTGTGTGTGTGTGTGTGTGTGTGTGTGTGTGTTTTCAGCGTGAGACACGAGTATATGTGTATATATGGTTTTGTGTATGTCTTATTAGTATAACATTCTCCTTAAGCGTGATTTTCATTCTTTTTTTTCTTTCTTTTCAGCCATTCCTTTCCGTCCGTAAACTTCGGATATAATACTGCCCATAATGGCGGAAATGAAATAGGAGAATAAATCTTTCTAACATAGCTCTCTCACGTTATAGCATAAACGTCTTTGTCTGTGATATTATAGCGCCAGTCTGTAAGATCTGACGAAGGGAAGTCTGCTTTAAAAACTACAATGTTCAGTCGCTTAAAGCGATTTTTTCACAGTTCTTATAAAACGTTTGCATGTGATTGATTATTTAAACATTTCATAGCGAGTTGAAGACAATGTATGGCATCTATATGAAAGTCTATAACTCATACGACTATTTAAGTACTTTTCTGCAATTCTTAGACTAATAGTTTAATTTTATGGAGTCCGTTTAGGTAGAAGTGAGTGTATGAGGTTTGTTGAATACGGTAGTGAAAATTAAATACGGCCTCAGCCAACGACAGTCATTGATTTCGCATGTAAGAAGCAAGGCAATAAAAGTGCGTCTATAGACAGTCAATATCGCTTCTTATCAGGTTCATTGCAGTGCATCATAAAGATAATAAAGTTGTTCAAGTAAAGTTCTCATCGTAGATACTCAATGAAATAATAATTGCTTTAACTTGCTATTTCTCTTCTACAATGACAACAATGCGAATTTAAAGCATTTGCGAAGGAGGGAAAAGAAAATCACATTTGAAGTGGGAGTGGCGGAAAAAATGTCATGACTTTTACGGTTTTAATATAAACAATTAAATCATAAATAAAAATGAACAAATTTGATCTCAACAGAACCATTGCTTGCGAGAAAGAAAGAAAGAAAGAAAGAAAGAAAGAAAAGAAAGAAAGAAAGAAAAATATAAGCACGTAAGACGAAAAAAGAAAAGAAAAAGCTAGTAAAAAGTGAAGAATGGACTGAGATAGGTAGATAGATAATGAACAGTTTGAGATAGATAGATAGATAGATAGATAGATAGATAGATAGATAGATAGATAGATAAATAATAGTTAGATAGATAGATAGATAGATAGATAATGAACAGATATAGATAGATAGATAGATAGATAGATAGATAGATAGATAATGAATAGAGATAGATAGATAATGAACAGATAGATAGATAGATAGATAGATAGATAGATAGATAGATAGATAGATAGATAGATAATGAACAAACTGCGATAGATAGATAATGACCAAAGCCTTTCACCCCAAGCAAGGCTGGAAGCCACTAGCACGCAAGGGGTTACAGAGTATTGTAGCGAGAGCAAATAGGAATGATGGAGGAAAGGATGAAGAGAAGGATAGGACATTACATTTGAATAGTTGGAGTTTATAGCTATCAGGGAAACAGGAAAAAGAGATAGATAGATAGATAGATAGATAGATAGATAGATAGATAGATAGATAATGAACAGACTACAAGAGCTAGCTAACTAGCTAGATAGTTAGATAGATAGATTAAAGAAATGACCAAAGGCATGAGGGCATGAAAGAAGAAAAGAAGGTAGAAAAAGAGAAATGCGAAAAGAAAAATAGAAATAAGGAAAAAAAGAGGAAAAAGAGTTAGTATGGAAACAAAAAGAAAGGAAAAATATAAGAAAGAAAAAGAAAAAAAAATAATGAGTAAAATGAAAAAGAAAAGGAAAGGAAAGAAAAGCATAGGAAGGGAGTATATTTTGAGCATTCCACACAAGTGAATATTTTGACTGAGTTTAGAGATAAAAATGGATTATCTGCCCTCTGCGCCTGTTGACTCATGAAATAGAAATGAAGTCTAAAATCTTTTTTTTCCCTAATTTTTTGTTGAACAATTATCTAAGCTTCATAAATTGGGCGGCTTTAACTTTTCAGATTTTTCTCAGTGAAACAAAAAAAAGCCCAACTAAATTGCTGAGTAATTAGTCAGAAACGCAATCTTAAAACTGCATTAAAAACAATCCCCCCGCCCCAATCTTATTTACATTATATCAATTATTCGGACTGTTATGTCATCTTCATTGTCATATGCACAACGTTTCGGCCGTTGTATTCTCCGGCCTTCTTGAGGTTATTAGAATTTCGAATTGAACCCTATATCTCGTCCACCAGGGCAAATTGTTCTACTAGGTTGGTGCAAAAATAATGACGTAATAATGTCGTTTTTGACGTATTTTTTAACGTCAAAAAACGACATTATTACGTCATTATTTTTGCACCAACATAACGATTCCACGTGCTATGACTCTTCCAGATGTCTCAGCTTTTTCCCTTTAATTTAACTCTGCAAGTTACTTTTTTTTTGTTTGTTTGTTCACCATTGCTGTAGTGGCCCAGTCGATAAAAGCGTTGGTTAGATCCAGTGATTAGACCCAAAGAGTTGTGAGTTCAATACCCGGCTACATCAGTGGCGAACCAAAAAAGCTTGGAGAGTTGAGTTAAAGAGAAATAACCGAAACATCCGGGAGAGGCATGTCACGTGGAACAAGAACAATCTATCCAGGTGAAGGAAATAATGGGTTCGTTTCGAAATTCCAATCACCTGAAGTAGGCCGGAGCGTAAAACGGCTGAAACGTTTTGAATATGGCAATAACAGTCCGAATAATTTAAATAATCATAATAGCTCATCTCAGTGATATATATATATAAAAAAAAAAATTTTTACTCCTGAAAGAAAAAAAAAAAAAACAGGTAAATTTCTTTGATTTGTTTGATATTTTTTCTGTGGATTACCCTTCCTTTGCGGGTTATTTAAATCTAGAAAATATATTTAGACTGTAAGAATTTTAGGGATAGATATGTCTTACTAATTAACCCATAGCTGGAGAGGCGAAAGAATAGGTGGATTCATGCCTTCCCCGATTTTATTTGCATGTTAGGAAATATAACGAACCCAACTGGAATTAGGACTCGGGTCTCAGATGAAAAATTTCGAGTGGTATCCCCAAGAGGTACGGCGAACCACTATTTCGACGTGATATGCCCGTAAGCCCAGACAAGTCTAAAGGGAATATAACAAGAAAACGGTCGAAGTATTTAAAGTTACGTGGATTTTTGCAAGTAAAGAAAAAATATATCAGAAACGGGGAAGAAAATAAAGGCTAAAGATAAATTAACGGAAAGATACAAAAGAAAGAAAGTAATGGAAGAAGGAGAAATAAAAAAAAAACGAAGAAGAAGGAGAAGAAGAAACAGGGAAAGTAGAAGAGTTGTCAGAAGCAATGGAAAAAAGAGAAAAGGAAATAGAAGAAAAAAGAAGAAAAAAAGAAAGGCGTAAATAACGAAAGGAAAAAAAGAAAGGGGCAACAGGTGAAAGAAGAAAAGAAAGGAAAGTTAAAAGAATTTAAAGAAAAAGGAAGAACAAAATAAAGAAAGGGAAGGAGAAAGGAAAGACAAAAAAGAAGGTTAAATAAAAAAAGAAAAATGGAAACAAAGTAATGAATATGAAACGAAAAGAGAGAAGAAAAGAAAAAAAATAACAGAAAAGTGCAATATACACAAGAAAATGATATATTAAAAGTTAGTGTAGTAGTAAGAATGAATAATCGAAAAAAGTGAACAGAAAAGGAAAGCACTGAAAATGAAAAAGGAAGAAAGAAGAAAAGACATTAAAGAAATGTGGACAAATATAAGGAAAACGAAGGAAATACAACAAAGTAAAAAAAAAAAAAAAATAACAATGAAAAAAAAAAGGCAACGAGAAACAAAGTCGTTATTACTTAACTGGTTCATTTTACGAGGGTTAGGTAAAAATTATGTCTGTTCTAATGCAATTTTAAAAGTATTTGTCAGAATTACTAGGGGCTCTTTAGCTATAAATTATAATGTCTCTAGAAACCCAAGGGAGCATTTCTGGAATTAACGTCTCTTTTAATATCCATAATAGGCTTTCAAAATGGCTGCCTCTCGGGACACGCGTAAAAAGTAAAGAGCTGATATAGACTTACGAAACATTCCATTTGAAAAGTATATGGCCATTATATAATTTGTCAGTATTTCTTTTATTTCTTTATGTGTATCTCTCTCTCTCTCTCTCTCTCTCTCTCTCTCTCTCTGAGCGAGCGAGAGAGAGAGAGATTTGTTTGAGGGGGTCATACAAATATCTTAACATATAATAAAATTTGAAACTGTCCCCTGGTGAAGGCCTGAAAATTATGCTGTGCCCAATACTAGAATGTCTTTTTAAAAAAGATGAATATACTGCAAGAATTCAGAGAAGATTAGTGAATGATACCGGAAAAACTTTACTAGATGTAAACACAGTAAGGAGATTGTTCCGTCAAGCTACTGGCAATCCTACAGAGAAAGGAGAAAGTGAATTTAGTCGCATCTCACATAACGGCAGGTCAACTGTTGTTGTGGATGAGGACTAGGCCAAGCATATAACTCACTCATTACTTTTTGTTGTGGAGTAGCTGAACACCTCCACAAGATGTATTGATCTAAAACTATTTAACTAGCATTCTCTCTAATTCAGCGAAAAAATTTAAAACGATTACAGTTAATTCTGCTAGTCGACTGTCTGGTTCTGGACGGAGAGAAACCCAGACGAGGCTTTGCCGAAGGGCAGCGTTTCGTCTGGTGAGATAGACAACCACCCGACCCCGTGTATACGGAGTCTACGGGCAATTTTTGCCCGATCCTATGGGCTCGGAACGCCCCACGTAAAAAAAAAGGTCTTGTGCCACATCACATCTTGTTGGGTAGTCTCGGATTAATGCCGGAGAGTTAACGATTCCAGTTAATTCTGCTTGTCGGCTCTCTGCCTTTGGGAAGAGAGGAACCGAGACGAGGCTATGCCTAAGGGCAGAGTCTCATCTGGAGAGGTAGACAGTCAACCGACCCCGTGTATGCAGAGTCTAAGGGCGATTTTTGCCCAGATATACGCGCTCGGAAAGCCCCACTTTAAAAAAAGGGCGTTGTGCCACATCCCCCCTTATGGGGAGGTATCGGGTAAATACCGGGGAGTTAACGATTAACTGTTTATTACATTAGTCTGTGTTCACAGCCGTGTGCTATATCATCCTCCGTAATAAACTGCTTCTTATTTTCTATATGTGTGTCAACATTTCCTGTTGCGAAAGCACTGTTGAAGGAAGAATCTCTATAGCAAGACTCTGCGAAGTTATGGTACTGCTTGTAATAAAGTACAGTTTTGAGTTACTAAAAGATCTGGTGCATTCGTAGAAAATTTAAAGATCCACGGTACGAGCTGGGGTTGGGTTTTGCCGGAGAAGTTTCTGGGCCTGCACGAATGAAACTTTTACAAGATGGCGGCTTTTCAATGACGAACAGGTGAAAGGGGAAAATGACATATAAGAAAACTACTAACAAATTTCTCCCTATGGAATATAGATATTCCTATCCAAAGGTGAAAGACGGTACTTAGAAAGGGTCCAGATTATATCAAAACCAGATTTGGAATCCGGAAAGATTTGTGTCCAGTTTCGTATGCTGTTAAATCTGCGATTTGAGGGATGTGAAATGTCGTGTAATGGATAATGGCTCGGAATGCAAAATCGGAGAGCTAAGTTCGAATTCTAGTCGATTTCATTACATTCACTCACGCGCACATACCCTTGGGAAAGCTACAAATCTATATATTCAGCTATGGGCTGAATAGAAGAACAGGCTGGATCCTATATCCTTGTTTGGCAACCAGTCTACTACAGAAAGAAACAGCGACCTAAAATTTAAATATCTACTGCCTAGTCAGTCGTGAATCGTGGGCCTGTTTGTTTACTGGCATATCAACTCTTTATTCGTCGTTTAATGTCAAAATTTAATTATCTTGGCAGCATTATCATTTTCATTTACAAAAATGTATAGCTGGAAATTAGTTCATTTTTTTTTAAAAAGTATTGCTGTTATTTTTACTATGAAAATGTATGTTTACTCTGCCATAGTGTTTTGCCCCCAATTTTGGTGGTTAACTATTTGCTAATAGTTGGGACCATAACAGGTGCTACCACACTGCATGAAAGTGGACATGGGAACAACATTAAATTAAGAGGTCTATCCACGCTCTTTAAAACCTTCCAATTAGAGTCCTTGCTGCCAGATATGCTTTATTGCCATACCCAGGACGACTCATAAATCGAAAGGGACGTAATCATCCAAGTATATATTACGTATGTCATTTAACTGACTGATTGAATGTGTTGCAATTAAAGGTTGCTGTCTGATCCCAGAAGTTGAGTCTGGTCAGTATTTAAATAAGTGAAATAACAAGGGCTGTAATGTATTCGACAGGGCCTAGCAAGCCTGCGATCGATACAATCTCTCCTCTTACACTAAAAACGGCCGTGATATGTAGAGACTGAGAGGTTCGGGAACAAAGTAATTAAAGAAGAACAAGGATTACGTTTTTTTTTTAAAAGAAGAACAGACCTTACTTTTTATATTAAAGAAGTGGGGGAATTACTTTTTTTTACTAATCCTTGTAGCACGGTTGAGAAGGGCGAAAAGAATATAGAGGACAACATTTGGAATTCTGATATTTCCGTGTCAATTTTGATATACTTTAAGTATTAACTAATGAAAGAAGAACATACCTTACTTGACAGAGTTAGAACATTCGAATTCTGACCCTGAGATCCGGGTTCGAATCTCACCATGGTCGATTTGTCAAGAAGGAGGCTTCCTGATTTTATCGAACTGGAGGTTCAATCACAGCGTTCGAC